TTTTCATGAAATGCTGAGAAAGTTCAGGGGAAAGCACAGAAGCTTTACCTTATAGTGTCATCAAAGGCAACATTCAATAATGTGTGTGATGTGCTTTCAACTTCTTGAAACTCTAGATAAAGAACCTCTTTGACATAATTTTTTATATATATATATAATGTTGTCAGTTTCAAACTCCCATCAAGTCTTTAAGCAAAAATGGCCTCAACATACTTGATCAATGGCACAGTTCACACTATCCAGTGGTTCAAACCATACCAGACAGTTGCCTGGAGAAAGCAGTGGGTCATGGTGAGCAAGTTTGAACTGGTCTAACAAATGCATTCTCTTCCCCCATTTAAAATCTCCAACGATGCTATCGCATTGTGCCGAGACATGCTGAGCCCATATCTCAAGAATGCTGCTTTGAGCTTCTTCAGGAATTTACTGTTCTCTGCGCTCAGCCCTCACAATTACTTCATCAACTGGAGGGTCTTTCAAGGACATCATCCTGCAGTTTTCTGTATTTTACATGGCTATAGCCAGCTATAGGAGGCGAGGGAGTGGTTTTTTGGCTGCACTGTGGTTCAGGTACTTGCTGTTTTGAATGTGGTCTTCAAGACAAGAAAGAAAGGGAATTAAACTTACCAATGTACATAACAAGCCTCTTTAAAAAGTTGCCTCTATAATTATTTGTGGATACTCATGGAACAGCCACAGGGGAAGCATCTTCTGCTCACTGACACGTTAGCCTAACCACAAAGCCCACTTACATCCTGTTTGTTTTCTCTCTGGCTTCTATGAATGAATATTATTCACATTATTACATATGTATGGGGAGGCCAATCAAGTCAACTGTTCCCTTCCTTCTCTTCGAAACATCCAGTCATTCCAACTTCTTTATTGTACATTTGGCTACAGGGGTTGATTGGCCAAAAGTCTATTGTGCAAAACCATGCACCTAAAGATACACAACCTATATTTGCAATATGATCTTTAGTGGCTCTTCCTTTTTGGAATCTGGTTTGAACAATGGGCATTTCTATTTCTGTATATGGTAAAGGTCTTCATTGCAACAGCTTAAGCATCCCTTTCCTTACAGGGAAGGCGAATGCAATGGTCCTATGTTTACAGCATTCCTTGACATCTCCTTTCTTTGGGACTGGAATGTTTATTTAACATTCCAGTCTGCAGGTCACAAATTTGTTTCCATACTCTTGTTAGGATTTTGACAGATTCAGTCTCTGTAACTTGGACTAGGTCTACTGATATCCCATCTATTTCTGGTTATTTGTTTCTTCAGAATGTATAAAAGGGAAATTTGTGTTTATTATGCTCAAGTGACAAAACTGCCAGCAGAAAACCCTTGGTTATTTGTTCATAGGCAACAACCAAGGTGTGTTGGGGTTCTGTATTCCATTTGAATGTGTGGTGACATATATTGTTAGGTGTTTTTCAGTGTGTTTATTTTCAGAACTTAAAATCAATGCTTTAAATACTAATGCATTATTCATTAGATTTCCCATCCACCCTACCAGAAATGTGCTACTTATTAATGCTTTTTGCAAGTAACATGACATATTATTAATCCATTAATTTCAATGTTAATTTTGAACAAAATGGCAACAACTAAAAAAGACCACCACTCCCACCAAAATCCCCCCAAAGTTTTGCAGCTATCCCAAAATAAGTATTTCTCATTACTTCTCTCCCAAAAAATCCAAAAAATTTCCAAATGTAACAATTCCATGTTTCAATAATAATAATAATAATAATAATAATAATAATAATAATAATAATGTCATGTGTTACATCCAAGCTCTGGATATCAGGTGTGAGTATGGGTGTGTTTTTCTTTGCCATCTCTGAACACAGTTAGAGCACACAGTACTCAACCATGCCAGTTCCTCTTCTGCCTTTGTGCCAATACCCAAAGTAGCTTGTTCACATTTGCAGCTTTCATATTGATTTTAGTGCAGCAAATATTGACAAAGAAAGTAGACAAAAATGGGGCATCAAGAATATGCAATTGGCCTTCTAAGTTGCAATCAGCACATTAAGGAGAGATCTCACTCTACCTTAGAGCCGTTAACAGAGCTGTTCATCTCATTCCTTTGGATATTAATGTTATTTTGCCATCACTATAACTTGCTCTTGGTAACTCTTGGCTTCTGAGGCTGTGGTTGAACAGGGCAAACAAAACAAGACATGCTTTTTAAACCTGCTCCGTTCTCTGGGCCAGTCTTCCTGGGGGGGGGAGGGGCTTCTGTGGTTTTTCTGCTTTGCAGCACTTAGTAGTTACTCTCGGTGTCCAGTCCCGTCCTCAGAGACAATGTGGCAACTGTTTAATAGAACAGCAGTCATTCACACTGGAAACGGTGAGCCAAGAGGAAGGCAAGCTCCTTGGCACAGCTTCGGTGGAATGAATCCATGAGAAAGATCATACTTTTCATTTATACTCTCCACCCTTCAGCATTCAGGCACCAACAAGTACAGTACTTCAGTTAAAGCTACCCAAGTATAACTGATACATAGCACACATACAGCGGTGTCACACACGTAAGCCCTAAGCCACATAGCACACATACAGGGTTGTATGTTGTTTTTTAAACAGCGGTGTCACACACGTAAGCCCTAAGCATTCTTCCTTATCACTGCAGTCCCTAAGAGGTGCATGTATACACAGCTTTATAAACAGAAACAAAACTCAGGCCTTAGGCCCAAACTGGTAGCTCAACATTAGAAGTGAAGCTTTCCTAAGAGCTAGAACATCTCAGTATGATTCTATCTCATTCTGTATACTGCAGGCTGTCTGGCTTTTCTTTTATTGCTAGTCGTCGGGAGGTATAACACAGTCTTCAGCTTCCACCTTCAAATTAAATTAATGGAAGAAGGTAGCAAAGTGATATGGACCCATATGCAAAAAACCTAACTTGCTTGAGTTTAAAGGGGGAAATCATGTTACCCGGAAAGGAAGGAAAGCAGAACGTCAAGGGTGGAAAAGGTCATGATTCATTTGTCAAAATCAAGATGCTTGAAACCTCTTTAGTACAAGGCTAGAAGGCACATAGAATCTCTTGTATGAGAGACACACATGCAGAAAGCATTAAATGATATTAATTTAATTACTAATATGCCCACTATATCAAAGACAATAAATCAAGTGTAATAAACTGGGAGGACTGGGCTAGATGGTGAGAGTGTGAGAACCTTTTCCCCAAAGTTCTTCTCTCTAGCCCTGCACCTGATATCATAAAGAGTTAAGGAGAAGTACTTCATCAGCCAGACAGGCTTTGCTCCACCCAGGGTTTTGCCCACTGGAAAAAGAAAGACATTGTCTGAAGGCCCAACAAGGTAAGCCTCAGAAGATTGGAACTGGTTCTGCAACCAAGGCATTGGCTGAAAGTTCTCTACTCTAGCTGCTTCACTACACCCAGAGTTTCCAGTGATTAATTACTACATGAATAACACATGTCCAGTTACACAAAGAACAATTCTATCCACTTCCAATTGCCTTGGAGCCAATCCAGTGGCTACCACCGTATCCCAGTGGGCAACACTTCACTCTTTACAATAAAGTATTGAATCCTAATTCCTGAAGACCAGAATTGAAAACAAAGTTGATAAAATGGGGAAGACAACATGACTATTGAAGGAACGACTGGGAAAGGACTGAATAACTGGGAACATTTTTGTTATGTCAGGATCTCCAGATGACTGAGTTGCAGCTGATTATTTTGCCAGTAAGAGCAACCATGTTTGTACGATTACACTGGAGTTATGGTGTTGTTGCAGACTTAGAATGGGGTCAGAGCTCCTCTTTGAAGATCTTATCCTCCGGCTTGGGATTTTCTTTCTGAAACAAAACAGAGCAAAGCAAACCATGTCAGCACCATGATTTTTTTGTGGAAAGAAGGAGGAGGGGGGACTTGAGATCCCAATCTAGCAGCTGGTGCCTCCCACCCCATTCCCTGATGCAATCTTTATCCCATTTTAGGGTGCACCTACACGGAAAGGAAAATACAGTTTGATCCACCATGTATCTGCAGTTTATCAAATCAAGTTTCCTCTCGTGAATTACTGTAGACTTTCAAACAACAATTTTTTGCAAGACAGAGAGCTTGGTTTGCATGGAGCTCCAACAGCGCAAGCTGAGAAAGATGCTCGATTGTCAAAGCACCTGCTTTCCAAATCTTGCAGTGGAAGATTTGGAAAGCTTTCATTTTCAAGTCTGATTGTCAAGTAACTTATCTCCGTGGGAATCTCGTTATGAAGAAAAACCTGTGCTACTTGCAAGAGATGTAGATTTCCCTTCACATATAGTTTGGCCCACTGCAAAATAGTAAGAACATTCTTTGGTTGGCAAGGAGCATAGGCTAAGGAGCCTAGCAGTTTTTTGGAGATATCTGTGGCAGAGTGTTTACATATTTTACTTAACATATCTTGTATACCACCCATCATTATATGGTTCACAGTGCAAAAGGAGGTCTGTTCCTTCTCTGCAACAGCAACAAGGCTCATAATTCATAAGGCTGCACTCTGTCAAGGAAATGAGCCAACCTGATTGCCTTCTGCCAACTCCCGACCTCTTCCCACGGGCTGGAGTCTCTGTGCCCCAATCCCTGTGGACATACTGTATGCCACTGCAGCTCCCCAATTTTCCATTTACCTCTAACCTCCCCCCCCCCAATCCTTGGAAAAATATAAATAAAACTACGGAAAGAAAAATGCCATGGATTGCAAAACCAAACTGCACAACCAGGAAAAGGACACACATTAAATATAATCACTCACATTGGTCCAATCTGCATAATTTATTCCCATCTGAGAATTTCAGCTTTGGGATTATTTTCAGGCCAAATCCCTCAATCTTTTGCAATTGCACAACTTCCCAGAAGGAGCTAAGCTTCTGCTTCAGTGAGATATTAACTACGCATTGAACATTTCCACATGGGACATTTTTTGTCAAGGAGGGCAGGATTTAGATTTTGCAAGCTCTTGAGAATGATCTGAAGTGGATCCATGAGGAGATACAGACATTTGCCAAAGTCCAGAGCAAGAGTACAAGGAATACAGGGCAATTTTTGCCATATGAGAGTTAAACTATACAACATGTGTAGGCTCCCCTCCCCCAAAGAAATACAAATACTAATAATTGAAGTATTGGGAGATGATAATTACTGGCAGATTTTCTTGAACTACATAGCAGGTGGACAAGGGGATTTCATCCTTTCCTTCTCTATTGTGATCTTAATCTGCTGGATTAAGATGAGGGATCCAGTTTCAAATGGCAGCTTTGCTGTGAAAGTCAACAAGTGGTCCAAGGTCAATGGCCATCTCTCAGATTCTGAAATCCTCACAGCCACATGTTTTCCATGGGCATAAAATGGAGAAGGAATGATAAATGCCTATGTTGCCTCAAACAAAATGTGATGTAAATGAAATAAACAGATGATCTATGTGCTTTGAGAGGAACTCACCCATGGGCACCAATGGAAAAATTCCTTCCAATATAAAAATAAGCATCAAATTAGTGGTTTCCCTCAGAATCTCAATAGGGGAAGAAAGGATTAAACACTTCTCCCCCACACTGTGGCCACAATAATAACCAGGCTTCCATAGTAGCTGCTGCTTGCATACTTACAAACATACATGTTAAATATAAATACATAGATCAGTGGCCACGTTGCCTGGGGCATTCTAAAAGCTGTTTCCAAAACATAAATCTGCACATCTCTAGTAAACAAGCATTCTAGTTTATCCCTTAAGTCAGTGGTCCCCAACCATGGGCCTCCAGATGTTCTTAGACTACAACTCCCAGAATTTCTTAACCACCACCCCTGCTGGCCAGGATTTCTGGGAGTTGTAGTTCAAGAACATCTGGAAGCCCAAGGTTGAGGACCACTGCCTTAAGTTGAGTGCAAAAAGCGATGTTCTAATGCCCACCAGCTTTGTCAGGAACAAAGCCAAGGAGTCATTTAAGAAACAACAGTGTAAACTCACTTCTTTTTGTCTCTGTAAGAAACCATTACAGAAATCCTTGACAGTCTCCACAGAGACTTCATCGAGATGCAGTACATCATACTCCTCATCTGGCGTGTGGAACACAGCCAGTGCAGGCAGCTGGGACTTCTTCAAATGAAAATAAGATAGAACCTGATCATTGTTTTTGACGTGGATGTCCACAAAGATGAAAAGTACCTAAAAAGGACAGAATTGCAGATATATGGAAATATTTTACAATGTGCACATAGGCTAATAAATATCATCACACAGATGCATAATGATGACAGATCAAAGAACATCCAACCTATAGCAGGATGGTCTGTGGATAGAGCGGCTGACCCAAAGGCCCTAAGTTACTGAAGCCTCCTTTACACAGAACTCTTAGCTCAACACAAGTTGGGGACAGAATTCCACAACTGGAAAATCTCCCATGGGGAAAAAATACTCAAAGGCCTCATAATCCACTACTAATGTGTTTGTTTACGATAGTTTATACCTTGGTTGTTGTGGGTTTTCCAGGCTGTTTGGCTGTGTTCTTAAGGTGTTTCTTCCTAACATTTTGCCAGTCTCTGTGGCTGGCATCTTCAGAGAACAGCAGTCAGAACTCTGTCTGTGCCCCGTTCAACAGAGCAGGGACAGAGTTCTGACTGCTCTCCTCTGAAGATGCTCACCACAGAGACTGGCAAAACGTAGGGAAGAAAAACCTTAAGAACACGGCCAAACAGCCTGGAAAACCCACAACCACCATTGGATCCCAGCTGTGAAAGCCTTTGAGAATACAGCTTATACCTTCTTCCATATATGTGTGTGTGTATAGTTTATACTTTTCTATGTATATGTTCCTTTATTAAAATGCTTTTTCCAGATCATAATACATATACGATCTTTCACTTTATAATGAAGCATCCTGTATCATTTAACAAAAATTCCCTAAGTCCACAACAGTACAGTCCTATCCGTGCATACTCAAAATCCCACTGAGTTCAGCAGAACTTTCTCCTAAATAAGTGTGCTCAGGATTGTAAATCAAATTGTTTTTTTTTAAAGTTTGATTCTTTTTTATAACTGGCCAAACTATTTTTATTTACTTGGGAAAGAGTGTTATTTGATTTCCTGCACTTGTGAACAAAATGTCAAAAGATTATGCTATGTATTATAAATCTGTACAGGGGATATTAGCATTAAAAGAACAAGAAAGGGATAGGAGGAAACCAAGCCCTCTGAGAAAAGACTGAAAGAATTGGGTGTGTTTAGCCTTGAGAAAAGAAGACAGAGGGTAGATATGATAGCACTCTCGAAATACTTGAAAGGTTATCATATAGAGAAGGAGCAGAGTCTGTTCTCAATTATTACAGAGCTCAGGACACATAATAAAGGGCTGAAGCTACAGAAAGCCATATTTCAGTTGAATATCAGGATAAACTTCCTATTAGAGCAGTACTGTATGAGAATGGAAACAATTACCTTTGAAGGTGGTGAGCATTCCAATGCTGGAGGCATTCAAGAGAAAGTGAGACAAATCTGTCAGATCTACAGTATGCCAGCCCAAGTTAGAAGGCAGCAAACCAAAAGATCCAGAGTGGAATGAGGAGCAGACAGTGTCAGTTCCCCAATTGGGCACCATAACACCACAAGTAGAAGCTGTTGGAAGGCTGCAGCTACAGCCCATAACTAGAGATGGGGGTGTTGTATACGAATATGGATATCCACACACAGCTGGACTTAATGAGGGTCGAAGCCCTGGGGCCGGGACGTCCACTCACTTGTCCTGCTGCGGTGCCAGTCCTGCTCATGCTTCCAACTGCGCCTGGAGTACCGCAGGAAGAGAGCGCTGCTCCGGGGACAATTGGAAGAATGAGCGGGACTGGCACCATAATAAGACAGATGACTCTCATTAGGTCCAGCTGTGTGGGGACATTCGTATTTGTATACGAATTCCCCCATCTCTACCCATAAACATTCCTTCTCAATTCCCTGTCCATTCACTTTTGTTGAAGGACAGAGCTATGTCTGCCATGTGGACTGTCTGGCATCTTCTGAACATAGGGCACACATTGTCCTATTGCCAGTGATGAACAAAGATTCACCTGTCAGTCCAGTTTGCTTCTACACATGGAATGCTCCTGGATGGGGGGATCATACCCTTAGCTTCAGGCAGGAAAATAACTTGTTTTGGCCCTGGGAATAAGAGCCATAGGTTATTGACTGGACACCCTAGACACCAAGAGCAGCCAAAAGAGGAGAACACTGATATCTAACTAACTTGTTGCAGATCTGGGAGCTAGATTCTATCATCCATCATCATCCATAGACTAAAGGAAATGCATTTGGATTTACACCACTTTTTCTTTAGCATCATTTCCCCCATCTCTTGCTCTTCCATTTAAAAGCTCCTGCTGTACTGGGAATATTCTGTTCTTGATTTTTGTACAATCTAACAACATTGACCAATTTTTCCAGCTGGAAATTTGGGCACTTGCTCATCTGATTTATTAAAAAGAAACAGACCTAAGTTTCAAAGAATTTTTTTCACTGTCAAGCATGCTCTGGGCAACTGAAGGAAGAGGTGATGTTATCTGGATGGAGACTTTAAGCAGAACAAGCAGTTTAATGTTGATTCAGCTCCAGTACAGTCTGGTCTCCTAGAGCAGAAATCTCTAGCCTACTGCTTGTCTCATGCCCTAAGGCTAAGCCAAAGATAGGAAATATTTGACCTTTCTGATGTTTGCAGCTTCCCTCGTTCTTCCATTGTCAATGATGGAGAAGAGTACTGGGACTTGCAGTCCAACATCTGGAGGACCACATGTTCCCCATCCTTCTGCTATGCTATACCAAATTTAAATAGCATAGTCATAAGCAAGACTACATATTTGAGAAGAACATACCTGACCAGTGTCCTCTACGAGGACCCTGGAAACTAGCCATCACTAAGAATGCAGTGCCTACTTCCATATACAGTACCAGCGTAGCAATAGATACGGCCCCATGTGCAGTTAACTTAAAATGCTGATCATAGATATTCCCAGGATGCTACTAATACCTGTTTGTCATTGAAAAAATGCTCCAAGTGCTCTTTCTCCATTTTGTTGTAGCATTTTGTTGAGGGAAGGCAAGGCTGCGGCAGATGCTATTTTAGGATGCATTAACAGAAGTATAGTTTTGAAATCCTATGAGGTACTAGTTCCCCTCTTCTAGTTAACCATCATCTAGAGTATTTTGTCCAGTTCTGGACCTTAGCCATCATCTAGAGTATTTTCTCCAGTTCTGGACACCACAATTTAAGAATGAGGCCAACAAACTGGAGCAAGTTCAGAGGAGGGCAACAGGGATGATCAGAGGACTGGAAACCAAGACCTATGAGGAAAGACTGCAAGACCTGGGCATGTTTAGCCCTCAGAAAAGAAGACTGAGGGGAGATAATATGATAGCACTTTTCAAATACTTGAAAGGTAGTCATACAGAGGAGGGGCAGGATATGTTCTCGGTCATCCCAGAATGCAGGACACATAATAAAAGGCTAAAATTATGGGAAGACAGTTTTCAGTTGAATATCAGGAAAAACGTCCTAACTGTTACAGCAGTATGACAATGAAACCAATGAGCTTGGGAGGTGGTGAGCGCTACAACACTGGAGGCATTCAAGAGAAATTTAGACAACCACCTGGCATATATCCTTTTATTTGTATTCCTGCATTGAGCATGGGGTTGGTTAAAAGGCTCAAATTATGGGAAGACAGTTTTCAGTTGAATATCAGGAAAAACGTCCTAACTGTTACAGCAGTATGACAATGAAACCAATGAGCTTGGGAGGTGGTGAGCGCTACAACACTGGAGGCATTCAAGAGAAATTTAGACAACCACCTGGCATATATCCTTTTATTTGTATTCCTGCATTGAGCATGGGGTTGGACACGATGGCCTTATCAACTTCCAGCTCAATTATTCTATGATTCCATGAAACTATCTCTCCTAGGTACCAACAATTAAAGAAAAGCATCCTATATTAGATTGCGAAATCGAGATTGTTTTTAGCTGCAAAATTAATGGCATAGTAAGCTACTTTATAGCAATTCAAACCATTAGCCTTTCCATCTCAGTATATATACATAGTTGCTGGCAGTGCTTCTGCAGGGTTTCAGACAAGGGTCTCTCCTTGCACTTCTTGAAGATACCAGAGACTAACCTTGGCAGGATCCTTAACCTGCAACACAAATGCTCTATGGCTGCATTTTGACTCTTCCCCATGGATGTATCCAGAAGAAGTGTAGATAAAGATAGGATATGGCAGGAAACAGAGCAAACCATTGTAAGCCTCTGTCCCTAATATGGTTTAGGATAATATCCCCATGGACTTTGGAAAAAGAAAACTGGAACTGATCCTGGTCAAATGTGCAAAAAACTTTGATCTCACTTGTCTCTCATCACCTTTTCGCCTACTATGACAACATTTGTGTAGTGTTGGTTTGGAACTCACAAACAGGGGAAAGAATCTACATGAGATCACCGAGCGGTTTCAGAAGCCCCTGGTGTTTGTGGCACTAATTTAAAGAGAAGCAGCAGAAGAAGTCCGAAAACCCTGACTCAGTGTCCTCATCACAGTTCATTTGGCACACAAGTTCAAGGAAGAATTGTTCCACTGCTTGGAGAAGTTCTCAAGGCATATGGAAAGCTCAAAGTCCTTGGGAGGAAGCCAATGGAGCAGGAGTTCCATTGGTGACTCCAAGTTCTTTTCCCAGAAATCCAGGCTAGCCATCCCAGCTAGCGAGGAAGCAGATCCCAAATGTCCTACACAATGCATAGCATTTCTGTCTCTGCAAACGGCTAGTAATCTTAAACCAATATTGCTGCTATTAGGTTGGGGATTTTTTTAATTGATAAAAACTATAATTATGCATTGACTCCAGAATAATGACATTGGGAGGAGGCGAGCAAAAAGTAATTGTTTCTTCCCCCTTAGCAGCCCACTAGCAGTTCTTCTTCCAAATAATAAATCAGCCCCCTTGTGGGAGAAGGAAACGCCCATTAAAAAGCAAGTTTGGATGAATGAGAAGATTTTAGTTGCTGTCTTCCATCTGATAAGTTGCAAATTCATTGTCCTACCCAGGGCCCATCCTTCTATTAGACATAGTGAGGCAACCTCATCAGACAGGGCATAGTAAAAGGCAGCAATTCCAGTTCCTTCCGTATGTATGAGCTGGGCATGCAGTCAAGCACAGCAAGTATGTACATGCTCAATATGTTTATGTATCTTGGCTTTGTGCAGAGTCACGGAATGAACAAAGGTCAGGACAGGCAGACGTGGCACAGCTACCCTTCATTTCCACACACTAAACCTTGTTTCAGACTTTATAGCAGCACCCACATTATTAGATTTTATTATATTCTCTTTTCCTCATATGTACACAAACACCCATACTGGATTGGATCCAGACTTACTCATAAATCCAGTAAAATCCTTAATCCTATGCCGAATAAAGCAATGATTCTACTGTATGTACTCCAATGGTTCTAACACAATTTTGTAGTTTGATATCAAGTTATCCTTATTACTTTTTTCAGCTGGTATCTTAGTGTAGCACTCTCCTAACTTGACTCCTTGGCTAATGTTTTTAACTCTACATCATACTGGCTTTCGTGTTCCAACACATGAAGTGTGAGATCTTCTGTGCTCAGTTATGGATACCTTGGACTTCCAGAAAGATGAACAAGTGGGTCCTAGATCAAATTGAGCCTGAACTATCTGTGGAGGCAAAAATGTTGAAACTGAGGCTCTCCTACTTTGGGCACATCATAAGAAGACAGGATTCTCTAGAAGAGACAATAACGCTGGGAAAGGAGAAATAATGCTGCAGCCGGAAAAGAGGAAGACCAAATATGAGATGGACTTATTCCCTAAAGCAGTGGCCCCCAACCTTTTCTGAACCGTGGACTGGTTGGGGGGGTCTGTGTGGGGGGAGCAGGGCACCTGTGCATGCATGTGTGG